AGCTCTGGGCGGCAGTGAGACCGAGAGCACCTCTTCTGTCCTCGGTCCCCACTTGGGCCCCGCAGTCGCTCTCTCCATCACTCTGTCCAGACTGGGGCCTCCGTGCGCCCGGATGAGGGGTGGGGGCGGGAATACACTGGCCACTATCTGCCTGTCCCGCCCGCCGCGATCTTTGACCCCAAAGCCAGACCCACAGGTAGAGGCTCAAACAGCAGCCACCCAGTGTCCGCACCAAGTGCGTGAGTAGGACCCACCAGGCGCAGGCCTCCCTGGAGGCGCCGGCCCCCCTCGCACGCCCCGCTCTCACCACCGACCCAGCGCAAGATTCACAAATGCCAAGGCTGATTGTTATTCTTTGTTCCCGGGAAACCTCCCGTCTATTCAGCGGCCACCCGAGGGCTTCCCCGTGTTTTGCTGCGTGCTCCCCTCCGCGCCCGCCTTGGCGGACTTGCTCTCCCCAGTCAGCACCGATTTGAGGATTTGGGGATCCATTGATCCTTCCCAATCGGCCCGCGTATTCCGAGCATCCAAAGCGCAAAGGCTTGCAGGAAATCACTCAGCCGTGGCTGGTCACTCGGAGTTCGAGGGAAAGCGTGGCTGTGACTCCTCTCTAAGCCACGGTTTGTCACCTACCCCGGTTACAAGTCCCCTGAGCGATAACAAACGACTTCTCGCCAGGGTGGTGGCCCCTCGGCCAGGCCTTGGAACCCCAAGTGAGACCCAGGACGCGGGCTCTCAGAGCAGCGAGAACCGGGCGCCCCAAGGTCCCCAGAACGCAGTCCGCGGCGCTTATTCCGGAAAGTTTGGGAAGGCTTTGCGTTCCCCGCCCCCCAGTCCCCAGTGCAAAACTCTCTTGTTGAGGAAAGCAAGGCCTGCAGGAAGCCATTCCGGATGTTTGCTGCTTTTCATGTGGCATTTGTGGCCGGGTCTGATAATGCTCGATCTGGAGCTCAGGATTCATTTCCAGCGCCACGTTTAGTCCAGAGACTGAAATAGAAAAAGACCCCACATACTGAGGGCAGATCTGTTGCACCACCACACCCCACAGGCCTGACAAGAGGATTAGGAAGAACAAAAAAAATAAATTTAGACAATCCTATGAAAAAGGCGCTAGTTTTGGAAGGTTCCACTGTGCCTTCCCGACTCACGATCTGTTGCTTTAAGTCTCCCAAGGATTGCTGAACGGAGAGCAGTGGGGAAGGGCTAAATTCTGAAGGTCTGACTCCATTTCAGTCATCTTCAGCTTTCACCCAATTTTTCAGTAAACTTCCAGGCAAAGATCAACAAGAGCTAGGCTCCAGGAACCGGTGCCAGTAATGACCGGGCGCCTTTAGATTTTCTCATTAACCATTCCTCTTTCCCTTTGACTCTGTGTTGAAATGGGCGTGGAAGCACAGGAGATCTGAAGATGTAGACTACATAATTTTTTAATTCTCATGTGGGTTTTATCTCTTGCAAAATGTTTAAGGAATTCGTCAAGTAGGTTAATTTAGATACATAAACAGAATTCTGGAGTGGACATTGTTTTTGTTTAGTTTTCAATTTTGATTCTAAGAAAGCTCTTGGTTCATAAAAACTTTCATCCTTGTAGAAAATTCTGCTCTGAGATATTTTTAAAGATATTTGTAAGTATGCAGAGAAAAATTAAGAGAGAATCTCTAATAAAACAGTAAAGGGGAAGGAACTAGAGAGTTAATTTGAAATGTGTCGTTTTCTTACTTACACATAATTTTATTGTGTTTATGCTTTATTCTGTTATTTTTTTAGAAAAAAATTTTAAAGTACAAACTCTTTAATTAAAATAGCCCATCAACATTTGAAATGAAAATAACGCTGTTTGTTTCAGAAGCCCTTCAAGTAAGGCCTGCTGATCAATGTCTTCCCCAAATGCCGTTGACAATCCAGTGACCTCTCACACATGTAGTTGTCCGGTTTATCTCTCTAAAAACGACCGTTGCACTTACTCCATCTGGACCGAGCTCTTTAAGTTCTTCCTACCTCTCCATCAGGTAGAATTCTGGGGCTGTAGACCTGAGATGAAAAGAAATTAAAAACAATAGACCTGTTTGCACTAGCACGTAAGTGGTTTAAGCACCCTTGTCATGTGAAAAACAACTGTTTTTAGAGGGTAAGTCTCTGCGATAATTCTCTTTTTTTGTAAATTCTTGTTATTCTTGTTTTTACTGGGAAACATTTGGGTGTGCCCTCCCCTCAGGGATTGTCCATTGTAATCTTACTTGGGGTGCTTTTTAATCCCCCCCCCCATTGCTATTGCTCTTATTGCTGGCAGCCTCTTTCACTCCTTGCTCACTCTTGCTCCTCTGCTCACTCCTTGGAGAGCTGCTGTTTTGGGGGAGGGGGCACTGAGGCCTCTTTGAGAACCTCTTTATGGAAGGCTTATTACCCTGGTGCTTACAGTTGTCTCTTCAAAATTACTATTAACCATCTCCTTGGAAAGCGATTTCTTTCTCTCAGGTTTAGAGAGAGCAGAGTTGGGTTGATCTTCCATTCCAGTTTTCTGTGGAGCCTCCTGGAGCCTTTCCTTTTTCTTCTTTTTGGATTTCTCACCTGTCTCTTTATAATATTTTCTGAAAATATAAGTGAAGGCCCAGCCAGTCACTTATTTTCCTCTTCAAGTTCTTTGTCCTCGGTTTCTCTAGCGTCTTGGTATTCTGAACAGCCACTTATGCCTGACTGTGACTTCTTTCATGACACCCAACTTTGTGGCTCCTTGACTTGCTCTCGAAGCTTTCCCCCAAGTCAGGCGCCTCAGAGAAGCAGTCAGTTTGTGAGGCAGTACGGCATTTGTTTACCAGGTATGCGACCTTTGTTCTTAGCAGCTGCTTGGCCAATGAAGTTGGAGTGGAAAATCAGTCCATATTTGGGAATATCATCCTAGTCTTCAGGGCTCTGAGAGAGGATTCAGTAGAAAGTCTGATCAGAAATGTCAAATCAAGACAACTCCTTGTCTCTCATTTTCCTGGGCTAGTGGTTCCACACTACCTCATGCTAACCCACAGCCCTCAGAGGCAGGAGGCAGGGCAAGATGTCCCTGACCTGGAAACTTGGTACCTTTTTGCTGGGCACTGGGCTGTCTGACACCAGGACAGGCCATCACACTCATAGTAGGGGCCTCTGTTTGTCAGGGGCCCAGGTCAGCCACCACTCTGAAGGTTCATTAAATAAATTTTAAATATCTTCTTCTTTGAATCTCAGACACCCAGTATTGGGGTTTATTCTCCAGAGAGAAAGCACTTCTAGGTACACAAAATTCATAGTCACTGTTGCTTCTGCATCTCTTTATCTACTTCGGGTCAGTAAGTTTCCTGTCCCAATAAATGAAGGCTAATGTCTTATAGTCTGTTTCAGGATCAATTTTCTCATCTGTAATTGTGACCCTTGAGGGACTTTCCCTCTGGGGAGCAAGCCACAACACCCAGGAACCAGAAAACATTTTCTTAACAAGGGTGAGGGAGGATGGCCACTGCTTCGTGAATCTTAGAAGAATTAGTTTAAAACGAGTGTCTAAGAAAGTCTTTGGAGAAAAGGCAATGTCAAAAATTCTAAAGAAAGAGCTTGAAATTTTCAGAAACTCTGATTCTGTTTTTATGGATGTAGAAATAATGCAGACATAATAGATGACTTTGTCATCAATATTTCATGAAGTTTGCTTCTGAGATCCCAGATGCAAGCACTACTTTTTCATCACCCCTTCATAGTAAACAAAGAAAATCTGTTTTGGAGATTGATACACTGATTTCTTTTCCAGCTATCTCTAATTATGCAGGAATGACTGTTAAATTGTTTTAGAACAACACAAACACAACAGTCTGATGATAAAGAACTCCACATTTAAAGGAGGACTACTAGGTGTGAATTCCACACCACCTGGATCCATTGCTGCGATCTCCAATGAGTTGCTTAATATTTGTGCCTCAATTTCCCCTCCTGTGAGTTGCAATTATTATGCTCCCCCAAGATTGGGAAATATTTTAATCTGTTGTTCATAGAATTTCTATTGAGTGGTAGTCAATTTTTGGCACCTAACAACAAGAAAATGTAATTATGTCTATCTTCTCTCTTCCGAGCATAAGCTAGTTTGTTAATGTTTGAATGGGAAGGCATGATGAGAGAGTTTGTTAAAAAATACCAATGAAAAGGTTTCTAAACTTTAAATGCAATCGGACATTTTGATAAATATGTCTCTGAATTTTAATTAAAAATGTTTTTTTAACATTTCAGAATAAAAGCAAGTATGAGAAATAGTTTTGCTGGTTTTTTGCACATTTTGTATTATGCATTTCTTGCACAAACGTTCAAGGGGTTGGTTTATCACCAGAGCGTAATTCTAAATTCGACCTTTTTTGCTAGAAAATGAAAGGCTTCTCTCATCACATATAGCATTCTGAGTATAATAAAGAAGTCTTGGAAAGCGATTTCTATTTTTGTCAAGTGGCTTTTGCATTCTATAAAAATACATTTGAAGAAGACACTCCTGGAGTTCCTCAAAAGGAAGCGAGGTCACCCACCGCTGAAGTATTTGATTAAAAAAGAATTAAAGTAAGGAGCTCTGCTGGGTCCTTTCGGGTCGCTAAGGGTGGGAACGGTTGGGGGGCAGCAGTGGTGGTTGTTTCCCACCGAGTACTTGGGACGTTAATCAGAACTGTGGCGCAGCAGCACTTTGGCGAGTGGAGACGGCTGCGTCCAGGACTGGTCCCCGCCGCGCACCCCGCCCCGCAGATGTCGTCCTGCGCACGGAGCCGGGGAAGGGGCGAGCTTGGGGTTGAACCCGAACTTGAGAGCCTTGTCGCTGGAGGGGCGGGGCCAGGGCGCCTCACCCCGCCCCCGAAGTTCCATTGGCCACGACCCTACAGAAAAGGCCCCGCAGGATCAGTACGCGGGGTTGACCTGCGGTTAGGGATTATAAACTTCACCGAGGCGCCCAGTTTGCGGTCAGGCACCACCGCAGCCGGTTCTCTCCGCCGCGCAGTCTCGGCGCGGGCACCTCGGGGGCGCAGTAGGTGGCTAGTCCGGCCGAGGTCTGAGGGACGCGGGGCCGGCCTGGAGCGCCATGAGCAGCCCGGATGCGGGATACGCCAGTGACGACCAGACCCAGATTCGGAGCGCGCTGCCCCCGGTGATGGCGGGGCTGGGCTCCTGTCCGTGGGCCGAGTCGCTGAGTCCCCTTGGAGACATGAAGGTGAAGGTCGAGGCGGCGTCGGGCAGCGGCGCGCCAGCCGGGAGCTCAGGCCGGGCCAAAGGCGAGTCTCGCATCCGGCGGCCGATGAACGCCTTCATGGTGTGGGCGAAGGACGAGCGCAAGCGCCTGGCGCAGCAGAACCCAGACCTGCACAATGCCGAGCTGAGCAAGATGCTGGGTGAGTCTCCGGCCCCCGCGCGCCGGTTTTAGTTTAGCCATGGGCCCTTCCTTGCCCTTTCCAATCAGTCCCCGCAACTTTAGAAAGACTTTGGCCTCAGTCTTGGGGTTGGTGGGCAGGGCGCGTGGGTCCTGTGATCCGGTAGAGAGGGGCCTCTGCACTTTTGGGCCGCAACGGGGACCCTTGACCCTTACCTGGGTCAGTGCTGATCACAGTCGACCTGACCTGTCCTCGTGCTCATCACCGCTTGGTGGATGTGGGCCCCGGGGATGGCCGAGCCGCGGCCAGGGTGGAGGGGTAATGGAAAGAGGGCGGCAGGCGGCAGGTTTAGGGGCGTTAAGCATATATACCCTCTTTTCTCAAGGGCTCTGACGCTCTTTGGGCATGGGGGGGGGGCTGGGGGGCCTAGTCTTCCCCCGTCCCCGCGGATGGCGCGGGTGAGGGACACGCGTCACGACCGGTCTTCTCCGTACCCCGCACAGGTAAATCGTGGAAGGCGCTGACGCTGGCAGAGAAGCGGCCGTTCGTGGAGGAGGCCGAGCGGCTGCGGGTGCAGCACATGCAGGATCACCCCAACTACAAGTACCGGCCACGGCGCCGCAAGCAGGTGAAGCGGCTCAAGAGGGTGGAGGGCGGCTTCCTGCACGGCCTTGCGGAGCCGCCCGCCGCGCTGGGCCCCGAGGGCTGCCGCGGGGGCGCAGACGGCCTGGCCCTGCCCTTCGAGCAGGCTTTCCCCGCCGGCCCGCCACTGCTGCCCCCGCACCTGGGCGCCCACTATCGCGACTGCCAGGGCCTCGGCGCGCCTCCCCTGGACGGCTACCCGCTGCCCACGCCTGACACGTCCCCGCTGGTGGACGGCGTGGACCCCGACCCAGCCTTCTTTGCTCCGCTGCCCGTGGACTGCCCAGGGGGTCCGGGCGCCTACAACTACCCGCAGGCTGCGGACTACGCAGGGCCCCCCGAGCCCCCCAGCGGACCCCTGCACGCGCGCCTGGGCCCGGAGCCCGCGGGCCCCGCGCTGCCAGGCCTCCTGCCACCCCCCGGCGCCCTGCACATGTACTACGGCGCTCTCGGCTCCCCGCCGGCCCCGGGAGGTCCGCGCTGCTTCTCGATGGCGCCCCCGGCCCCCGCTGGCCCTGGGCAGCCATCGCCCCCTCCGGAGGCGCTGCCCTGCCGGGAGGGCGCAGACCCTGGCCAACCCGCTGAGATTCTTGGGGAGATGGATCGCACGGAGTTCGAACAGTACCTGCACTTCGTGTGCAAGCCCGACATGGGCCTCCCGTACCAGGGCCACGACACCGGGGTGACTATGGCGGACAGCCACGGGTCGCTGTCCTCCGTGGTGTCCGACGCCAGCTCGGCGGTCTACTACTGCAACTACCCGGACGTTTGACCGGGCTCCGCCGCAGCCAGAGGCACCAGCAGAGCTCCACACTTCCCGGAGGCGCTAAGGAAATCTTCGTGGTGTTCAGTTGTTATTCTTAGATTGCCCGGGCCTGTAATTTATGGTAATTTATTTTGAGGACCACTTGAACATTCTGGGGAGGAAGGTGAAGTTGCCGCTTTAAGAGATGTGTTCAGAGACTCTTTCCCCAAGGTTGCATTGTCAAACTCTGTTTTTTCCAAGTTAAGTTTACCAGCCTGATTGTGTTCCAGAAGAACTGACTTCATTTCCTGAAGGTTTCTTGATCAAAGACAATTTGTCGTGGGTGTGTTTTTTAATCTTTTCTTAAAAAATAAAATCTCATTTCTGCTTTTTCATTCTGCCAGTGCCTCTGTCACGCAAGCCAGTCTTACCAAGAGGTCCCTAAAGGCCAGTGTTAAGGCTTAAAATACTTTAGGGGTGTCCAGGAATAGTTTCCTGAGGTTTTGCCCTTTCATAATTGTAGACTTAATGACATGCTGGGGGAAAAAAGAATATTAGGACTTTCAAATTTATTTCAAGTGGATTTTGAAAGGATATTTAAAAAAAAAACAAACCCCAAACTAAATGTGCAATCTACCTATTCTATCTTATTCTCTAAGAGCAGTGGTTAGACCCTTATCATTTTCATTTCTGTAAACCTTGTCACTTTAAGGGTTTTTGGGTTTTGGTTGTAGAATAAGCAACCCTAGAGGCTTGCTTTTTGAAATTTTCCATGTTAGAAATCTGCCAGAAGTTTTTATGAAAAGTTGAACACCAAATTTTCTCACATTATCTAAACCTGGGAAGCAAGAGTTACAGGATAATAAAAAAATTTTGAAGGAGTTGCAGCAACTAATAAAATAAAACTTGTATTCTGTTTTTTACTTTTAATGAACCTGAGATCTTATTTCAGTGTGTGTATTTTGATGTATGTTAACATTTTCTGAAGGTTGGTAATTGTATATGTAGTGGGGCTTCCAGAATACTATATAGGCCAGCTCAGAAATGGTTTTGTGGGGAAGAAGGTGAGAAGGGATTGTAGGAGGGCGGAGCAGGGAGTTAGGCTCTGCAGTCTTCTCTAGTGCAGTCAATCACTGGTGTTCCCATGAGACTTTTCAGACTGGGAAACATCAGTACAGTGGGGTAATCCTAGTTGGTGTCAGCATTTCTAGACCTAGAGCTTGAGCCAGTCCATAGCAGGAAAGCTGTTTTCTCATTCAAGTGAGGTAAGAGGGCTCACCCTCTTTTGCCCAGGGTATGAGGAAGACTTAGTGTTGAGAATTTTCCAACATTTTTGTATATATGGCCATTGGAAGAATTTGTATTCTGGGAGAAGTGAAATCTGTAATACTCTATAATGTTAAGTGCTATATAGAAAAGGAAGAGGGAGGAGGATAGTGTCAAGCACATGAAGAGGGTGTGGGAGGCCTCGTAGGCAGGAATATTTGGTAAAATTACTTTCGAAATGGCAGAATATATGCTTGGGGTTCCCCCCCCCCCCCAGCTATTTCTGGGTCTTGAACATACCATGGACCTCCAAGAAAACAAATAGGTCTATCTTGGAGAGGGTGAAACCAAGTTTCTCCTTAGAGGCTAGGATTTTGAAGCTCCATCTCACATACTTTAGGCATGTGGCCAGAAGGGACAGATCCTTGGAAGGGTGGAGAGACAGGACAGGAGAGGAAGATCCTGGATGAGATGGATTGATACAGTAACTGGGCCAATGGGGGTAGCTGTGTTTGAGTCATTGAGACTGGCTCAGGACTGGGCAGGCTTCATTCTAATATTTCTGGGTCATGAGAATGTTAGGGGTAGAAAGTATCAGCAAGGAAAGGTAAGTTTGTTTTAGAGGCTACCTTAGAATTTGAAATCCACACCAGGATGATGTCTACCATTTAATCTGGGTAAAATTCCCTTAGTGTTCAGCCATCCTTACGTTATTTCTCCCTCTAATCCCAGGCCAGTAGTTCTGTCAGTTCTGCAAAGGGGCTCACTTTGTTCAGATTCAGGTTAGTTTACACTGGGCATTGGAGTTGACCCTAGGAGTTGCAATTGTGTTCCTGCTGGCTACTCTTAAATGAAGTTAAATTGTCATCAAGGGAGAAGATAAATGGAGGAAAGAGGAAGAGAAAAAAGTCCTTAAGAGAAAGTTAAAAGACATGTTAAAACACATACTTAAATGTAGGTCAAGTTGGGAAAGGAATAGAAGCTAAAATTACTCTAACTCATTCTTGGGAGTAGGAGATCTTATTTTGGAAATAGAGAGGCCTCTGGTGGTTTATTCATAGGGACTGTGCTGCTAAGCCAACACTGGTGTTCCGGATCCACCAGCAGAAAAAGAATGGCCCTTCTCCCCCTGTTTGATTCATAGCCTCAAACCTCAGGGTCAGCTATGACTTCTAATTGAGTTCTGTGTAAAGGGTCTGTTACTCTTTCCCCCGCCCCCCATTTCTAGTTATGAGATTTCAGAGATGGGTTGGTCAGGAGATGGAGTCTCTGGCTAAGGTCTTAGCATCCTTGGATGTCTCACTTGCATTCACTTAGACGACGTAGTCTGCAGAAAGTGAGATGCCCACCCCTCCTCAGAAGCATACATTGTGCATACACATGGTTAATATCTTAAGTAGCTTTTCAGAGAATTCATGTCCCTAAATGACCCATCCAAGGGCTGGGAGAAACTCAATCTTCTTATTTAGAAGACCCAGTGGTGAGGCATTTGTAGGGAAGCATTACACTCAACTTGATGGTAGTTTTTCTATCCCTGGAAACACAGAAGCGCATCTCATGTATGCTCACTATTGCTGAAGTCTGTCTTCTTGTGGTTTGAAACAAAGACTTTGGGGGATAGTCTGACTCTTGCTCAGTGTACTGGGAACCTGTGATGCGCTGCCACAGCGATTATGTGATCTTTTCTTTTTTTGCCGTTATGTTGCTGCTTGTAGCTAGCTGGTTTCCAAGGATGTCATGTGAAGACTCCATGCTTTTGATAGCTACGTCTTCTTATCCTCTCCCACAGTTAATGCACACTGGCCTTTCTATTTTATTTAATTCACTAGAAAGCAGTAGAAAGATTATGAGCCAGATTAAGGACTAAACTTCAAGGAGGTTTTGCTTATGGCTCTCAGGTTATGTTCATTGTCAGGGTCCTAATGTATTAAAAATGTTGGGCGGAGGCTTCAGGAAGGGACCACAGGACTAGAGAGGCCCAGAGACTTCTGCAAGGGGAGGCCCTCAGCTTTGACCCCAGGAAGACAGCCCAGTCATTGTCTGCTTGAAACTCAAAGAGAGGCCCCCCAGAGAAGTATCTCAGGCGAGCCCTTGGGGAAAAGTGAAAAAAAAAACAAACAAAAAACCAAACACCCAACCAACAACCCCCCAAAACTCCACTAAATTGTATTATGCAGCAACAACTTACTGAAAAAGTTGCTATTCTCAATTTTTTAAATACAGCAGTACTTAAATGGTGGCGAAACCAAGAAAAGAGCTTTGAGGTCTGTCAGAGATGTGAAATGTGGGCACAGAGTGATGATAAAATGACCTCATCTAACAAGCCTTTTCCATTTATGGAGTGAGTTTCCTGACGGGGTGAGTGTGTGTGTGTGTGTGTGTGTGTGTGTGTGTGTGTGTGTGTGTGAACACAAAATCCACATACCTTCCAGGCACCCAGAAGGACAGAGGGTATTTTATTTCCCACTAAAACCCTGATTATATCTCTATTAAAGGGAACAGGTTGGGTCTAAGAAATGATGCTAAATGTTACTCAGAAAAGCAGCTAAGAAGTGATATCACAAGCATTCTATTGCTTTTACTTATTACTCTTCTCTCAGGAGACTAACATATCTTAATTTGAATCACACAGCAAGAAGTATCAGGTTGCTCTTTAAATTTGTGCTGATTTCAGAAACAGCAAAGTACAGTCTATCAGAGGAAATGGATAGGAGATTATGAACTAAAATGAATCATCTCAGTCTGATGTTTTTCCATGCCCTCTCTAATTTTGTTTTTAATACTCAATCATGTTTATCAAATAATGCTCAATCCTCCTTTTCTCCCCTTGTGCTCTGTAATTTATTTTGACAATACAAAAAACTCCGCTTATTGCTGCTGGAGTTGGAACTAACTCACAGCCGACCTGCATGCAGGTTTTCAAAGACTGTAAATCACATGAGACTATTTTTTTTTCTCCCTCATAGTAGCTGGTGGATTCAAACCTCAAACCTTTGGCTTGACAGCACAACTTCTTGCCTACTAGGTCACCAGAGCTTCGAATGACAACATTAGACAGGTATTTCATGTCTATCGTTTGAGCACAAACTTATCCTTCCTCTAGTGATTGAAAAGATGATGTCCTGAGTCAGGATGACAGAATAAGAATTGATGCCTTAGAGGTGTGGCGTTGGAGAAAAGTACTGAATATCCCATAGACTGCCTAAAGAACAAATAGAAAAAATGTCTTGGAGAAAGTACAACCACGGTGCTCTCTACAGACAAAAGATGGCAAAGGGTCAGCTCACATACTTTGGACATATTGCTAGGAGATGCTATTCCTTGGAAAGGGACATCATGCTAGCAAATGTGAGCAAAAGAGAAGACTCTCGGCCCCATGGCTTGACACAGTGACAATAGCAATGGACATCTCATTCAGATAGGATATAGATGGGTGCAGGAAAGCAAAGGGTTCAAATCTGTTGTTTATAGCGTCACTATGAGTCTTACTCAACTTGATAACACCAAACAACAAAATTTAAAATATGCTTCTGAGTTCAGAATATTTGTCTGAGGGAAAGATGTTAAAAGATAATGATTTTCTATCCAGTCCTCACCTGGTATAGAATGAGTGATCAAGTTTCAACTCAATGTTTTTAGCTTAATAAATTGTTTCTCTGCATCTCAGGTCCAAATAAGAATTGGGATAATCCCCTGCCCCCCCCAAAGAAATCTACTTATTCAGTCATGACTTGCTGAAGAAATTCTGGACCTGAAGAATT